AATCCCAAACCCCCAACCCCCAAAACCTCCTTTAAACCCCCCCCCTTTTTAAAAACCCCTTTTTAGGAAAGACCCCTACCCCTCTTTTCCTTTTCCCCCATAGATTTTATATTTTTTCCCTTTTCATTTTTACTTTGATTCCCTTTTTCTCTAAATGACCCAAACCCCCTCAAAAAAATCCCCTTCTGCCCTTGACTAATTCTTTTTTAACTCCCACCTTCTCCAAAAAACCCAAACTCCGAATTTTCTGATAATATTTTCCCACACATTTCCCCTTTGAAAAGGGCATCTCCCCCTGGGCCCCCAAAGTTCCTCCTGCTGCCTTTACCAACCCCAAACTTACATCCCCTATAAGATGTTTTGGGACTAATATACTTTATACATTTTCCCTTCTTTGGCCCCCCATAGATAAAAGTTTTTTGACTCCACATATACCTCAAAAACCCCCCCTCAAAATTTTCCCCTATCAAATTTATATTTAAACCCATCCTTTATAAAAACCCCTCCGCCGACCCCTCCCAAATCCCAAATACCTGAAAACATTCACTTCTTCCCTTCTTTCCCCCTCCCCAAAATTTATATCCAATTTTTCTTTTCAAATCATTTGAACCCTCATCACCTTACTTTTTTTCTATGTTCACTTTCAACTTTCTAAACCTTTTTACACATTCTCAAACTCATCCCCAACCTTTTCCCAAATTTTTTTTAGAATCTCCCCTAAGCACAGTATCCAGGGAAAAAATAAAAATGTTGTCCAAATTTCCCCTTTTGAATTTTATTCCCCATAATTTAATCCCACCCCCCTCCGGAAAACCCTAGCATTTACTTTCCCTTTTTTCTTTTACAACCCCATCAATTTAAAAAAATTAAACAACCATGGGGGACATTACACATCCCTGTCTAAGACCTACTTTTTTCCCGGGGAAAATATTCTCCCCCCTCTTCTACACACCCTTAAAACCCGGCCTCACTATCCTCAAAAAATCCCCTTTTTCAAACATTTAGTAAATTACCACCCCATTCCATATACTTTCAACATCTGCCACATTGCTCCTTATCCCCTCTATCATATGCCTTTTCTAAATCCATAAATGCAAAAAAACTTTCCCCACCTTTTTCTAAATAAATGTTCAAAATATGCTTCAATGTAAATAAATTGGTCTACACATCCCCCATTAATTGTATTCCCTTATTTCTTAGGGAATATTGTTTCGTTTTTCAAACTTTTCAATTTAGAACTAGCTCCGGGAACGGTTTAATTTCGAAATTTGAGGTTCCATGTATACTAAAAAAATTCTAGCAGCTTAAAATAAAGGGGGGAAAAAGCTGGTGGCCCACATTAAGAGAAGGGGTTTGTGGGGTCAGTGTCAAAGTATAAAAAAAACCCGCAGCAAGCAGTGCATAATGAAAAAAAAAAAAAAACTACAACCGTGTTTTTGGATTAAAAACGTGACTTTAGGTGTATTTTCATAAGTTTTTATGGTTTTAAACCTTGTTTTTGTAGGCACATTTAAAAAAATGGAAAAAATATTATAGAAATGGAGTATTTTTGATTGGTTTACTATAAAAGGACTTTTTAAATGGGGGCTAAAATAAGGAAAAGTTTGATTTTGCCCAAAGTTCAGAGTAAAAAATGACGTCTTGTCCAATAAATTCTAACTCCCTTTTAATATCGGCATGAATGGGTTTTTCATTATTTGTACAATTATTACAATTTGCAGTAGTTGCTAAAATTAAATCTTCTATTTTTTGTTTGAATAAAAATTCAAAATAGAAAAAAGGTAATATCAGAGGGGTGGAGACATACTGATGAACAAAAAAAAATGTTATGTAGACTAGGGAAGTCTGCGTGTTCATTCTGACCTTATTTTAAATTGGCTTTTTTAATTGCATAAAATTGGCCAAATTGCCAATTTTGACCACTTCATTTGGGGAGTTGAAATCGGGAAACGGGGAAATTTTTGCACTCAAACAATAGAACAAATTTGGGTTCTAAAGAAATAGCTATGAGTTTGGTCGACTGGTACAATGGAATTAGCCGAAAATAGGGCTCAAAGTGGGCAAAAATTGCCGATTCGTAAATATCGCCGAGGTCGCCAACTTTGCGAGGCGAATTTCCAAGTTTTTCCCAAAAAATTTTGTACTTTTTTGGTGTCATTACCATCGGGAAAAAAAGAGATCATTTCATAAGAAAAAATAATTTTTTGTTTTGTTTTGTGACACCAGGAGATATCTCAGGATTTGGGGTTGTGACAGTCAAACGGTTAAGTGAGGAGAGGCTGTAATAACAATTGCTCTGAAGCGCTTTAAATGTCATATATTATTATTATTACCATCGACATAACCCTTTTTCCTTTTATTTATTTTTAGATGGTCCTGAAAGGGGGTGCGTGTATTAACCAACCTCCCGACAAGAATTAATAACATGCTGTTTTATCTTCTTGGCATCTTCCTCTTGTTGTTTACTCACTCTCTCTACCCCCCTACACGCATTTAAAGGTCTAAACTATATAGCTCTAATAACATTCTAGGTTTTTTTAAATACAGGAAATTTTTAATTTTAAAAAGAAAATTAATTTATTTATTGGGTTGCAAAGTGTTTAAAGGGGTTTTAAAGGGAATTACCGAGGAAAAGGAAGATTTCAGGGTGGGGTGGGTCCTATGTAAATTTCAGAATCCCCAAAGGTAAGTTTAAAAAATGCTATATTTCGGGTGGTGCCTGGGGGGAGGCCACCCCTTCAAAAATCTACCCCCCCTAATCTTATGGGGCCCCCATTTTTCTTGACTCAAATTCCAAATAAAACAGTAAATCGACACATGACGTTCAACCAAGAAAAGTTTGAGTAAAATTACTCATTCATTCCCTCTTTTGAATGGCAAGTAAGTTCTTTGTCTCCACAGATCCCTAAGTGCACCACTCACGCTTTTTCCCTCATCAATTCTATGATTCACCTCATCTTTCATAGACCCATCCGCTGACACGTCCACTCCCAAATATCTGAAACGTTCACCTCCTCCATACTCTCTTCCCTCCAATCTGATATTCAATCTTTCATCACCTAATCTTTTTGTTATCCTCATAACCTTACTCTTTCCTGTATTCACCTTAATTTTCTTCTTTTGCACACCCTACCAAATTCATCCACCAATCTCTGCAGCTTCTCTTCAGAATCACCCAAGAGCACAGTGTCACAGCAAGAGGCAGCTGTGACAACTCCCACTTTGTGTGTGATTCTTTATCTTTTAACTCCACGCCTCTTGCCAAGACCCTCGCATTTACTTCTCTTACAACCCCATCTATAAATATATTAAACAACCACGGTGACATCACACATCCTTGTCTAAGGCCTACTTTTACTGGGAAAAAATTTCCCTCTTTCCTACATACTCTAACTTGAGCCTCACTGTCCTCGTAAAAACTCTTCTAGGTTTGTATACTGTAAATACAGGTAATTGTTTTATTATTCTGAATAAAGAAAGTGATTAATGTCATCATTGGAGTTGTCAGAAGCTGTAAAGGGTTTGGTAAGGGAGATGACGGCGAGGAAATGGAAGGATTTGCGAGGGTAGGGGTAGGGGTCCTGGATGTAACTTTCGAGAAGAATCACATTATGTGTATGTTTACCTGAATAAACTGACTGATATGTTCGGCTGGCTGCCTGGCTGGCAGACTGGCCTACCTGTCCTTCAAGAAATACATACCAACCAAACGTAATTGCTTGAATGACAGACAGAATCAAGGACTTAGTTAATTTAGGCACAGGTACACATAGGTATAGTTATCATAATGTAAATTACCTAGGATAACCCAAAAAAAAGCCAGACAAAGTGCATTTCTGTCACAAGTAATAAACATTTCAGCGACAGTTGTATCTTTCCACTTGTTCATTAATCTGTACACAAGTATTCCATATGATTCTCAGATATGTGTTTGTTATTAATTTAGTTGATTCCTGAAGTAACAAATAAATAACAAAAAAGGCACAATACCGTGACCGGAACGATACACAAATAACCCGCACATAAAAGAGAGAAGCTTACGACGTTTCGGTCTGACTTGGACCATTGACAAAGTCACACTGACTTTGTCAATGGTCCAAGTCGGACCGAAACGTCGTCGTAAACTTCTCTCTTTTATGTGCGGGTTATTTGTGTATTGATTCCTGAAGACCAGTAAATACATGCAATGTGTACATATGCTGCTATGTATAATAATTTATTTAACTGTATTTATGTGTATGTTTACCTCAATCAACTGACTGACTTACTTGACTTGACTGACTGATTGGACTGACTGATCTGATATGACTAGCTGTAGTGATTTGACTACTGACTTGACTGACTATACTGGCTTTACTTATTGATTGGACTGACTGACCTACTGACTTGACTAACTACAGTTAGTGAATACCAACCGACTGAGAGAATGAGACCAAGACTGAGAAAGGGCGATGTGAGATGAGATGCTTGACGCCGAGACACACTGCAGTTTCCACGACCAGAGTTCTTGTACAGCTCACAATACAGACTGGTCAGAGAGCTGGTTGTAAGTCCAAGCGGTCATTAAACAGGTAGGTCATTTGGTGAAGTGTACTCGTATGCAGTCCTAGCCGTAGACACACCAACTTGCATGCATCAAGACAGTGAGTAGAAAGAGAATACTGTCAGTCAACTGCGTCAATGGTAAACAACCAAACCGCAGAATGAACCATCAATGTTTGTTTTTACATGCAATGCCTCCAAAATTTAGGCAGTCAGAAGGGAGGGGGGAAATCCTTCACACCAGTGTCTTGTTTGCCAAAAAATATGTTAAGTCAAAATTGAAAAGGCTACAGACAAGATGCATAACACCAACAAATATATTAGTCAGGCAATGTTTGCTAATTTTAATATGCAAATGTTTCTGAATGATGAACAGTATGAATACTAAAATTACTGTATATTATAAATTATACTGAAGTAGCAAAATATTTGTAAATTTAAACAGAAAAACTACTTACTGAGATGAGATTAGCGTTGATATAATCAGACCCTGGTATGCCTGGATCTGTATCTCTGAGTATGACTCGTGTATGATCAAATGGCAAAATATTCTTGTAACGATTCTTATTGCGATTTTCTGGTTTCTGTCCTTCCTTACGAGAGTATAACTGCTTGCATTCTTGCTGCTGCAGGGATTCAAATTCCTCCCAAAATCCAGCCTTTCCCATTGTGGGCCCCTGATGCTCCTTCTGTAATGACGGGTCAAAACTTGTTTGGCGTCGACGCTACATGACCCGTCACCAAATAAATAATTATGCTACAGTATATAGAAAAATAGTTAGACAACAAAATTTTTAAGCCTAGAGTTAGTCAGTTGATTTTAATATACAGTAAAATAAAGCTACTATAATATCCTAAACTTCTAACAAAATCTAACAAAAAAATATTTAAAGCCAAACTCACCGACAACTCTCGCACTCTGCTATCAATACCTCGTGCATTGATTCTAGTAGCATTAAAAGGCATTTTTAAAGGCACAACTGTGCCAGACTGTTCAACCATTGGGTTCCGCCTATAATGTTCAACCAACTCACTGAGTGTGTCAAACTTTCTTCCACCACCCACGTCGTATTTATTATCCTGCCAGAGAAAACATCATTATTACTAGTCTGCTTCCCACTTGCTGTAGAGAAGCACACAACAGGAAAGGATGAAAAATTAGTACATACTATTTTAAATTAGGTAAAGAAACTTTTGCTTAAAAATATGGCAATCATGAGAGTATTGTAAGAGTAATGATGCAAAATGTACCATTAAAGAAACATATTTGAAATAATTTACAGTAAAATTCAAATTATGGGGAATCAAATTCAAAATGGGAATTGACACAGTTACTTTTTGCTGATGATACTGTGCTTATGGGAGATTCTAAAGAAAAAGTGCAAAGGTTAGTGGATGAGTTTGAGAATGTGTGTAAAGGTAGAAAGTTGAAAGTGAACATAGAAAAGAGTAAGGTGATGAGGGTATCAAATGATTTAGATAAAGAAAAATTGGATATCAAATTGGGGAGGAGGAGTATGGAAGAAGTGAATGTTTTCAGATACTTGGGAGTTGACGTGTCGGCGGATGGATTTATGAAGGATGAGGTTAATCATAGAATTGATGAGGGAAAAAAGGTGAGTGGTGCGTTGAGGTATATGTGGAGTCAAAAAATGTTATCTATGGAGGCAAAGAAGGGAATGTATGAAAGTATAGTAGTACCAACACTCTTATATGGATGTGAAGCTTGGGTGGTAAATGCAGCAGCGAGGAGACGGTTGGAGGCAGTGGAGATGTCCTGTCTAAGGGCAATGTGTGGTGTAAATATTATGCAGAAAATTCGGTGTGTGGAATTTAGGAGAAGGTGTGGAGTTAATAAAAGCATTAGTCAGAGGGCAGAAGAGGAGTTGTTGAGGTGGTTTGGTCATTTAGAGAGAATGGATCAAAGTAGAATGACATGGAAAGCATATAAATCTATAGGGGAAGGAAGGAGGGGTAGGGGTCGTCCTCGAAAGGGTTGGAAAGAGGGGGTAAAGGAGGTTTTGTGGTCTAGGGGCTTGGACTTCCAGCAAGCGTGCATGAGCGTGTTAGATAGGAGTGAATGGAGGCGAATGATACTTGGGACCTGACGATCTGTTGGAGTGTGAGCAGGGTAATATTTAGTGAAGGGATTCAGGGAAACCGGTTATGTTCATATAGTCGGACTTGAGTCCTGGAAATGGGAAGTACAATGCCTGCACTTTAAAGGAGGGGTTTGGGATATTAGCAGTTTGGAGGGATATGTTGTGTATCTTTATACGTATATGCTTCTAAGCTGTTGTATTCTGAGCACCTCTGCAAAAGCAGTGATAATGTGTGAGTGTGGTGAAAGTGTTGAATGATGATGAAAGTATTTTCTTTTTGGGGATTTTCCTTCTTTTTTGGGTCACCCTGCCTCGGTGGGAGACGGCCAACTTGTTGAAAAAAAAAAAAAAAAAAAATTCAAATCCATTGGAATTTCAAAATTTTCATGTCTGCAGTATTTTCTTATGAATGTCCTGAAAATAAACTTGGGTGGCAGTAAAGCACAGCATGTAACAAGAAGTATGTGTAGAAAGTCAAGTGGTGCCACAGGAAGAAGAAAAAACTAGTTAGGGGTGGTAACATTAAATGAAGTGAGATGTAGAAGGTGTCATGTGGACTGGTGTGGCAGAACACATTCACAGATCAAAATCTAGCTACTTAAGGGGCAGGAGTGGAAGTTAGTTGTTAGTAAATGGGTATCATGGCAGCAGCCTATATAAAAGGATATATAATCTGTAGCATCTAGCTCAGGAGTCCCTACTCCTACTGCTGAAAGGTTGAGCATCTTGCTGAGAGATCTCCAACCCTGCCACAAGATTTGTAGATGAAATGAGAAGTGTTAGTTGCATTTGACAGTCAAAAGGAAGTGGTCTGGAAAAATGACAGGATTACTGCACACAATCAGAAGCTTTAAGTTATTGAGGACTCTCAAGTCTGGTTATTGATCATACAAGTACTGTATAGGTAATAAAAGGTACAAATCAATACAACAGCTAACCCTTTCACTGTCTGTTGCATAGAACTATGTTACTGACACCTGGCTCCACCATATAGCTCTAAGTCATGAGCTCGGCTTTCTCAACTAAGCTGCAAGTGGTAAATTTTGACCTAGATATGAGATAATGGGTCTATGTGGTGAGTGTGCACAGTATAAAAAAATCATGCATCATATAATGCATGATGGGAAAAGCAAAACTCTGACATTGTGTTTGGTTTAAAATAGTGACTTTGAGGTGCTTTCTAGGATGGGTTTATTGGCAGTTTCTTTTGTCATTTGATAGAATGGAAGACTTACTGCTAAAATAAAGATGATTTTGGGTGGTTCCAGGAATGAAAATAGCTAGAGATTAGCCTCAACTAGTGGAAATATTTGATTTTTGCTGATTTTCTTGAGGACAGGTAAGGCCTCCCTACACCCCTGGTTTGCTTTATGGGTTTTTCATACTTCAATTAAATTACTGGAATGATGTAAACCATGACCAATTATTCCTGGTTATATATTATTAACCCCTTGACTGTCGCAACCCCCAATCCTGAGATGTCTCCTGGTGTCGCAAAATTTAAAAAAAAAAAAAAAAATATTTATTCTTATGAAATGATAGAGAATCTTTTTCCAATTGTAATGATACCAAAAAAACAAAATTTGATGGAAAACTGACGGAATTACGTTCTCGCGAAGTTAGCGACCTCGGATATTTACAAATCGTCGATTTCGCCCGCTTTGAGCCCTATTTTCGGTTTATTCCATTGTTTCAGTCGACCAAATTCATAGCTATTTCTTTAGAACTCCATTTTTTCTATCAATTGAGTACAAGAAACTGCCCATTTGCCAATTTCAACTACCCAATAACGTGGTCAGAAATTTGCAATTTGGCCAATTTCACGAAAATTAAAAAATATGACAATTTCAAAATAAGGTCCAGAATGAACAATGCAGACATTCCTGGCTCTAAAGTAACATTTTCTTTGTTCATCAGTCATGTCTCCAGGCCCCTCTAATATTACTCTTGCTTTCTATTTTGAATTTTTATTCAAAAAAAAAAAAAAATAGAACATTTACTATTATGAAGACTGCTGCAATACTGTAATAATTGTATAAATAACATCAACCCATTCATGAGTGCATATTAGAATGACTAGTTGGACATTTATTGGACAATGACATCATTTGTTTCCTTTTGAACATCAGCAAAAATCAAACATTTCCCCTACTTTGAGCTCCATTTCCAGGTTCTTTTTATAGTAAAATCAATCAAAATTACCTCTATTTCTATAATATATTTTCCATTCTATCAAATGAGACCAAGAAAACGAGAATACAACCATAAATACTATACGAAAATAGACCACAAAGTCGGCATTTTAATTAAAATAAAAACGGTCGGATTTTTTTTTTCTCATTATGCAGTGCGTGCTCCAGGTTTTTTTTTATATGGTGCACACTGACCACACAGACCCATTCTCTCACATGTGGGCCTACCAGCTTTCTCCTCCTTGATTTGAAGCTGCAAGAATTTATGAGTACATATACGTCAAACACGGTACCTCGTAAGATGTATATATACGGCCGTGACAGTCAAAGGTTTAACCAAGAAATAGGGAAAAACTTTGATTTTTTGTGTGATGATGAATTCAAAATGGAAGGCTGGTGTATTACAAGAGAGGCCTGGGGATGTGATTAATTAACACAGGAAATGTTATTTTATTTACTGGAATATCTACAGTGTTTATTTTGAATTTTGTTTTTAAAATGGATTTTTTTAAATTTTGCATAAAACTGGCCTAATTACCAAATTCAGAGGACTTTGCAGGGTAGTTTTGATAGTTGAAAGGGCCTAATCTTGTGTTCAACTGATAGAATGAAAGGCATACTAGCAAAATAGATAAGAATTTGCGTTAAACCGAGCAATGTCATTTGCTTACAATAGGACTCAAATTTGGCAAAATCGCCAATATGCAAATTGCACCTAGACTACTAACGTTGCACCTGAATAATTCCACAAGTTTTCCACCAAAATCTGCATTTTTGTGTGTCATTCATTACCTTCAGAAAACGATTCTCTACCAATTCAGTAGAGCTTTTTTTTAAATGTAGACACCGTGAGTACTGTACTTTTAATTTTTGAGTTCTGGACAGTGAAAATGTTAAATAAAAATGGACTTCAGAGCTAAGTAACATTATCTGCTGAGGGATGAGAGAACTAAGCACAGGTAAACATAGGTGGGGACGACCTAATCAGTGGAGCCAATGACTCGTACAGAATGCCTGTTAGTGGCAACTGTGATAAATATTTTTTTTTCAACAAGTCAGCCATCTGCCACTGAGGCAGGGTGACCCAAAAAGAAAGAAAATCCTCAAAAAGGAAATACTTTTGCAGAGGCACCCAGATACGACAGTTTAGAAGCATATATAAAGAACTATAACATACCTCTCCGAACTGCCAAATCCCAAACCCCTCTTTTAAAGTGCAGGCATTGTACTTCCCATTTCCAGGACTCAAGTCCGGCTATATAAAAATAACTGGTTTCCCTGAATCCCTTCACTAAATATTACCCTGCTCACACTCCAACAGCTCATCAGGTCCCAAAAACCATTCGTCTCCATTCACTCCTAACATGCTCACACATGCTTGCTGGAAGTCCAAGCCCCTCGCCCACAAAACCTCCTTTACCCCCCCCCCTCTAACCTTTTCGAGGATGACCCCTACCCTGCCTTCCTTCCCCTACAGATTCAAATGCTCTCCAAGTCATTCTACTTTGATCCTCTCTCTAAATGACCAAATCACCTCAACAACCCCTCTTCAGCCTATGACTAATACTTTTATTCACTCCACACCTCCTCCTAATTTCCACACTCCAAATTCTCTGCATATATTTACACCACACACTGCCAAGACAGGCCATCTCCACTGCCTCCAGCTGCCTCCTTATTGCAGCATTTGCAACCAAAGCTTCATACCCATATAAGAGTGTTAGTACCACTATACTTTTGTACATTCCCTTCTTTGCCTCCATGGATAATGTTTTTTGTCTCCACA